ATGGCTAGTGATGTGGAGCATTTTTTCATATATTTATTCACTTCTTTAATTTCATCCTCTGAGAAGTGTGTGTTTGTCTTGGATGCCCATTTCTGGACTGGGTCTTTAAATTTTGGGGCCCTAGTGTTTTTTAGTTCTTTATAAATTTTAGAGAGCAGACCTTTGATTGAGTACTTATTTGTCATGTTTTTTTCCAAATTTGTGGTTTGCCTTTTTTTGCCTTTTCACTTTGTTGGTAATTTCTTTTGACGTGAAAAAATTTCTCAGTAAGAACAGGTCCCAGTTGTTAATTCTTTTAAGTGTTTCCCGTGTTATTTGATTTTTGTTCATGAACTTTTTGCCTACCTGTATGTCTTCAAGAGTTCCTCCTACTTTCTCTTCCAGGAGATTTAGTGTTTCTGTTTTAATGTTTAGATCTTTAATCCATTTTGATTTTAGCTTAGGAGAGCACCAAATCTTTAATCTATATTATTTAATAATTTGCAAAATCACCCTTCTGTATAATATGAGTTTCTGGAAAATTGTTTTCTTAGCGGGTATCTGGAAAATGTTTGTAGTATGTGGGGTATGTTTTGTGGTTAAGACTAATATTAAAAATGGAGATGGCAAAATTTTTAAAAATGGAGAGGGCAGTTTTGTGGCATAGATATTTTTCCTGTCCCTTTTTCTGCTCATGATAGACATTGTTGCTGTTCATGATACTATTACAGAGTCTAGATTGAACCTCAAAATCATTGTTTCTTTTTTTTTTAATTAATTTTGTTGAGAAATAAATAGCAGTGAGACAGTTTCAAAACAGGGTAGTAGAACAGTTACAATAATTAATACATTGCATATTGTTATCTTTGTAGTAGTTATTCATAGTAAAGATGCAGATATGATATCCTATCCAAACACTATTAGTACAAATCTTTCTTCTCATTGAATTAAGAGAAAGTAGCTGTATATCTATCCTAACTACTTTTTTATACAGATACAAAATGGTCCTTCATTTGTATCCCTTTTTTTTTTGTTTAGTTTTGTCAGAGAAGGGTATTCCACTGCCATTTAAATATTGTAGGTGCATGAATTCAGCAAAGTAATCCAATATAATGCTGGGGAGATAGCTCAGTGGACTAAGTGCTTGCCTTGCAAGCACAGGTTTCTGAGTTTAATCCCTGGTACCACCAAAAAAAGAAGAAAAAAAAAATCCAGTGTAGTCCAGTAGTCCATAATAGTAGTGGGTTATCCGTAGGACAGGTAATGTCAGAAGCTGTTGACTTGAGCCTTTTACATCTCAGTATATTAATATGGCTTTACTTTTTATACTTCATTTTTATACTTTTCTGCTGGATGGTTAAGACCAAGATAAAGCAAGACCTATATAAAAAGAAATGTAGGTTCTGTGTCTGACAGGGCCAGTCGGATCCCTTCAAGATTTACCCTGAAACTCTGTACCGCAGTTTGTAGATCCTTTGTCAGTGTCAGTCCTTTGAATGAGTCACAGCCATTGCTTGAACAATTTGCTCTCTGTGAAAGCCTGAGAGAGTATTTTCTCTCCATGTGACTCTCCTTAGGCACACTATACATCGTCAGTCACTTTCCTCTGTGGCCCCATAATTTCCTTTTTTTTTTTTTAAGACAGGGTTTCATCATGCAGTTCAGGCTGGCCTTGAACTTATGTTGTATTCCAGGCTGGCCTCAAATTCATGCTGTCCTCCTGCCTCAGCTTCCCTAGTGCCAGGATTACAGGTGTGTGCCATTATACCTGGCATTTGGCCAGATTTAGGATTTTTTTTTTCTTTTTCTTTTTTTGGCTTCCTCAGGCTGCCTTAAGTGTGGGTGTGGTAAGGCATGTGGAGCTGGGGATCAAACCATGGTCCCCTGCACCTGACTGCATTTTCATGAGCAGGCACGCAACTGAGCTAACCTGCAGGCCCCTATTTGGCCAAATTTAAACTTAAAAGTTTAACAAATTTAAAACAGTGTCATAAAATATATGCAAAAAAACCCACCAGTGACCCAAAGGCATGTATTTTCTTTTGTTTATATTTTGCTTTTATGTTTTCACAGAAGTGGTTTTTTTTTTTTTTTTTTTTTTTCAGAGCTGTGGGATTGAACTCAGGCCCTTGCGCTTGCCAGGGAAGCGTTTATTCCACTGAGTCATCTCCCCGGCCCCTTCACAGAATTTTTATAGTAGAGCAGATAGTGACCATATTGCTTGCATTTTAATTTATGTTGCATCTTTATAATCTCATCATAGGGCATACCTTAATTTATTAAACAGTTACTAGTCTTATGCCCTTGTGGGTGCATTGACCTTTTTGTGTTTAGTTTTGGTTTGTCTTTAAAATATATTTGAGATACTGAGATTAATGAATGAACTTTATTAAATGTTTATTCTTCTCATCTTTGCACTACCAATAGTCTGTTTGTGTTACTGCACAGAAATTCCTTTGAGATAATTGCTTAAAATGACAGTTGATATTTGAACCACTAATGTTGGAAGAATTTTTTTTTTTTTTTTTAGGCTGTTGTATTCTTTACAACATCTGTTACATGGCCTTAGTAAAGTTTTTACAGTATATTTCAGGTTTGGTAAGATTGTGTTTTTTATAAAAAATTAAATCATGTAGTTATGTTTTTAAGAGTATGACTCAAAATGTAAAAATTACTCTGACTGGAAATTGGACAGTGTACTGTAGAAGTATTTTTAAAAATTCAAATTGGTTTATTATTTATGGCCTTTCCTGTCATGTATTACCAAGTTTATAAAAGTGTAAGAATGTTTTCTTCCAGCATAAATTATTGGTTTAATTATTATATTCAATGTGTTTGAGTTTTGTAGGAAGCATAAATAGCTTTTGAGTTCTTTTTTCATGTAACTTTCTATATATATGTATCCATGTAATAATCCTTAGGAATGTTTAATTTACTTTTTTTTTCCTTCTCAGATTCTGGCCGATTTTTAAGAACAAATGCACCTTATAGCTCATGGAAGAAAAAACACAAATCAAAACATTTTTGGGTTCAAAGTTGCCAAAGTATGGAGCAAAGTCTGTAAGAAGTACGCTGCAGCCAATGCCAAATGGGACAGCTGTTAGTTTATTAGGAACGTCTAAGAGTGGTAATGTGAACAGTTATATCAAAAACAATGGATCTGATTGTTCATTGTCCCATTCATTTAACTGGAGAAAAGCAAGTAAATACCAGCTTAATGTTCAGGGTACTGAAGAGCCTGATAATACTCAAAATTTACATGATAAATTAATTGACCCAGTAAAGCATGCTCCTACTCAAGGAAGGTTTGATAAAAATGGAGTAAAAGGAGGTTTGAAAAGTGCTGCTTTTTTCACATCAAAAATAGCAAAGCCATCCACTATGTTTGTATCATCTACAGAAGAATTAAACCAAAAGTCTTTCTCTGGACCATCTAATTTGGGCAAATTCACCAAAGGCACATTGTTCGGAAGGACTTCCTTTTCTTCGATCAGTACTCCAAAATCACAGTTGAATGGATTTTATGGCAGCCGATCGACTAACAGCATGCAGAGTCCTAGAGTGAACTCCTGTGCCACTAGAAGCAGTTCTGGAGAAAGCTTAGCACAGTCCCCAGACAATATTAAATCTAGTACTTGTGAGAAAATGGTAAGGTCACAGAGTTTTTCACATTCCATTGAAAATTCATTCCTTCCCCCTTCATCTATAACCAGGTCACATTCCTTCAATAGAGCTGTAGATCTCACAAAGCCTTATCAAAACCAACAGCTACCCATTCGAGTGCCTCTCCGGTCAAGTATCCTGACAAGAAATTCCCGCCAATCAGAAGTACTCAATGGGAATGAACATTTGGGCTATGGATTTACTAGGCCTTATGCTGCAGGTGGAAAGAAGCTGGCTTTACCAAATGGCCCAGGTGTAGCTTCCTCCTTGGGTTATAGGATGGTTCATCCCTCTCTTCTGAAATCTAGCCGACCTCCATTTGCTGGAACTCTCACAGTTGATAGTAATAAAAATTCACCTGCTGACATGTGTGTAGAGGAAGAGACTGCAGATTTGACTAAGGACAGCACTATTAAGAAGGACCAAGAATTAATTGAAAATGAAAGTTATAGAACAGAGAATGATCAGACCATGAAAAATGATACGAAAATTAGATACTTGAGTGATGATGTGGATGATATTTCCTTGTCTTCTTTGTCATCTTCTGATAAGAATGATTTAAGTGAAGACTTCAGTGATGATTTTATAGATATAGAAGACTCCAACAGAACTACAATAACCCCAGAGGAAATTTCTCTCAAAGAAGAAAAGCATGAAAGTGTACCATCGAAAGATATCTTTGATTCCCCTAAGGAAAATGAAAAGGACTACAGTAAAACTGATGAATGGCTAGATATAAGTGTATCTGGTAAATATTAATGTCCTTAAGTTTTTCTTTGCTTTCTCCTAGATAATATTACTGAATTTACATTTAGGATTTTCTGATCAGTTTCCAAGATACTTGCTGTCAGTTTCACAGAGAGATGGAAGTAGATGAAACTTGAGTGGACAGCAGTAGGCTTCCTTGTGACTTTACACCCTAACCCATTTTTCATCCTGTATAAAATAAAATCAGTAAAAACACTCTTGCCTTTGCCCTTCTTTAGTTGTTACACACACCCCTGTTCCTACTTAGTATAGTGCTTCCCAAATTATTTTACTCCCACTTACCCAGTCAGTGGTGTACTATCAAACCATCTCTCCTGGGGCTGGGGAGATGGCTCAGTAGAATAAGCGCTTGCTTGGCAAGTGCAGGGGCCTGAGTTCAATTCCTGGTTCCACCAAAACAAAACAAAACAAAACAAAACAAAAAAAAACCCACAAAAAGCCAAAACAAAACCATCTCTCCTAGTAGATGTCAGATCATTACTGTTTGTAAGAGATAGCTGTACCAAAGGGCAAATGAGCTAATTAACCGAAGCTAGATTCAGTCTGATTGTTCTTTTATTCAGAAATTTTTTCATTATCAACCTTTATGGTCAGTACTTCCAGAGGAGCTTTATATATATTTTAGATTGAAGAAAGTCAGCTTTTTTTTTTTTTTTTTTCCTTTTAAATGTTTCCCCTTATAGTAGGTTATCCTGGCACTAAATACTGGTGAAAAGATATCTGTGGTCCTCCATATATCCCAAATAAAGATCAAACAAAAGGACTTGGCATGTGGTTTAATGAAGGGATTATTATGTGTAGAGATGAACATGAACTCTTGATTGTCAGTGGGTCTTATAAAAGCAACTGTCAGAAAATATTTTCCTTACAAAGAGGCAACTGCGAGGTTAAGTCATGTGTACCTGTTTCCTGCCTGATGATTAAAAGTGAGCACCTTGGGCAATAGTAAAGGATTAGGAGGCTTTACTTACATTTTAGAAATGTTACAGAAACAAAAGATGGCAGAAATTTCCCTTTGTTCACTGTTCAACATAAGGTGTTTTTTTTTTTTTTTTGTGGAACCGGGGCTTGAACTCAGGCCCTTGGGCTTGCCAGGCAAGCGCTTATTCTACTGAGCCATCTCCCAGGCCCCAACATAAGGTATTTTTAAGACTGGTGTTTATTGGGGGCCGGGGAGATGGCTCAATGGAATAAGTGTTTCCCTGGCAAGCGCAAGGGCCTGAGTTCAATCCCCGGTTCCACCAAAAAAAAAAAAAAAAAAAGACTGGCGTTTATTGTTTAAATTTTAGAAGATGTTATGGTTGTGAATGCATTATATTAAGCCTTTTTGCCACAATATATGAAATTATTAGAGTTTATATTATAGAAATGAGAAGTAGTTATATTGTGTGAATTAATAATTTTTTTGTCTCTTTTTAAATCAACTGAAGACAGGAGTGAATGTGCAAAACATACCTCTGGAAATAACTTAATTTCACCGGATACAGATTACAGAGCTGGTTCTTCATTTGAACTCTCTCCATCTGATAGCTCTGACGGGACGTACATGTGGGATGAAGAGGGCTTGGAACCCATTGGAAATGTCCACCCTGTTGGGAGCTACGAGTCTTCTGAAATGAACAGCATAGTATGTATGGATTTATGTGCTCTTTTGGAATAATTTGTGTACTTAGCTATTAAGTAAGGTAAACTAAAAGACTTAAGATACTGAATTTAGCTTTAATTTATGAATTCACTTTCCTAGTTTAAAAAATAATTTCTGTTAAGGGCCTAGAAAGCATAGTGTAAAGCATAGAGAATTTATCACATTGGACATTAGTGTACTGATACACATAAGTACATGTCATCAGACATGTATATACTGTACATACTGTATTGGTCTGGTCAAGTCAGGCCAGTGGTTCTTGAGGAGGGGGAGTAGGAGAGTGTGTGGAGGCAGTTTTGGTTGTAATGTTAGGAATGTCACTTGGTGAATAGGGGCTGGGAATGCTGCATATTGTCTCCTTGTGCACAAAGTAGCAGTGTACCTCTTGAAAACCTTGGGCAGGGTTCTGCTGAGCCTCAATTCAAGCACCAACTCTGGACTGACTTAACTCAGTAAAAGTTTTAGGTTTTTGTTGTTAGAAAGTCTACTGCAGGTCTGGACAGCTCTCTAAGGTGGTTGCATTTAGTGACCTAAGCTGCTTGACACGTAGATCTCCATCATCTTTGAGGCCTCGTGCTGTGCCAGAGGGAGAATTAGGAAGTCTCACTCATGCAGTTACTGGCTGTGGCCTGCAGGTGGCACCTGGCGCTCTCATGCACTACCTGTTGACCAGCACTGATCATGTGTGGTCCCAGTAAATACTAAGAGGACAAGGAATGTTATTTTCCTATGCCCTGAAAGGTGAAGGAACCAGGTATGTCTGAGTGCTGGAAGACAGCATGCATTCATACAAGTGTATTTTAGGAAACAATGTGTATAAGCCATATGGATAAAATGTAGCTGATGTGTTTAAAAATGATTCACATGATTATTTTTATATACAATATTATTTTATTTTAATTAATTAATTTATTTATTTTTGTGGAACCGGGGATTGAACTCAGGCCCTTGCGCTTGCCAGGGAAGCACTTATTCTCCTGAGCCATCTCCCCGGCCCTATAATATTATTTTTGAGAAAATCAAATTAGTAATCTTTGTGGGTAAATTAACAGTCTAGGTGGATATTAGGCTATGTAATTTTCTATATTAATACAATACCGTGGTTTGGAAAAAGCAATTATAGTTACCAGAGGTTTTTTAAGTTGTATAAATCTAGAGGGAACACACATTCTAATTTAGAGAAAATAGTTCGGTCTCGTTACATAAAAAAGGAAAGATTGCAGTTAGGGCCTTAAGTTTTGTCTTGGTACTACTTGTTAAAGTACAGTACTGTGATTGAAGGGCATGTGAACATAGTATCCAGCAGATGGCAGCAATGAGCCACTTAGTGTCTGAAGTTTTCTGATGTTACCCTATTAATCTTGTTCCTGTAACTAAAGTCTGACTTAACTAGAAAAGAACTTCAGCATGGTCTCGCTTTTTTTCATTCCTATAACAGGCCTGATCCCAGGCTGGGTCAGGAAAAGGTGCTTTCAACAGAATATGTGTTACTGTAACACACTTTAGTTTGATTCACTGTTTGGTTTGTCTGCTGTTCCCATAATACGAGTTTCTCCTTGAAGGGCTCAGGGCATTGGTACCCATTCTGGTGCAGTCCTTTATCTTTCGTTGACCCTCCAAAATAGTTTGTAGACTGAGTGCTTTTCATAACACCGGTCTCCAATTCTGTTTTTGCTGTTTAAATGCTCTCAGAGTTTTGTTGATGCATTATTTATGAACAGCAAAATACACAAATCTGCAAATGGCCCAGAGAATTTTAACAAATTTATATACTTGTTTTACAGTTATGCAGATGAAGATATGTAGTATTCTGTCAACCCAGGATTTTTTTTTTTCTCTGTTCCTTTTGGTCATATTTTCACCGACACAAGAGAGATGCAGCCACTATTGATTGATGTCTGGCCCTAGGCAGATTAGTTTTCCTATGCTTGAACTCTGTATAGATGGAATCATAAGTATGTGATGCTTAATGTCTAGATTCTTTTATTATTAGGTATTTGTCAGTTGTAATTCATTCCTCTTGTGTCATATTCTTTTTTGGGAATAGAGTACTTTTATCTCATTGTTGATAGGTATTTAGTTTGTTTGGTATTGACTATTAGAGGATTATATTGTTTTGAATGTTTGAATATTTTGAAGGTTGCTATATATTTTATAGTGACTATTTAATATTTCTGTTGATAAGACATGTAGCAGAGGGATCCTTCGATAATAGGATATTTTTGGGTATATAGTTAGTCTTCCAAAGCCATCTTATTGACTGCTCCTACTGGCAATAAATGAATATTTCAGAAATTCTATTTTCTTATCTGCACTTAGTGTTGTTTGGCTTAACAGGTTTGCTGTCCTGGTGAGGGTGCGGTAGCATTGTGTTGAGATTTTTGTCATTTCCCTTTGTAACTACTCATTGAGCACCTTCACAGATATTTATTGTCCCTTCGGGCATCTTCTTCTGAGAAGCGCCTTCTGTTGGGTTATGTATATATATATATTTTTTACTTATTTGTAAAACTCTATATGGTTTGGATATAAATATGTTATATATGTAATAAAACATATGTTTGTAAAGTATGTGTATAATACATTTTTACTCTAGGCTGCCCTTTAAATTTCTTGGTAGTGTCTGTTGATAAGACAGTTTTAATATTGTCCAGTTTACCATTTTTTTCCCCTTATTACTATTTTTTTATGTATTTTAGTACAGGGTCTGCAGGGTCTCACTACACAGATCAGAATTGTAATGATCCTCCTGTTTTCAGCCTCCTAAGCATTGCAGGTGTGCACCACCATGCCCAGTCTCAGTTGCCATCTCAGCAAACCCTGAGGGCGGGGCCTGCGTGGCATGCCAAAGATCGAGCCCTGGTCCCTGAGTCTGCCTAAGCAGGCACTTTAATCCGCTGGGCTGTCTGGCCAGCCCTCCTTATTACTATTTTTAAAAACTGTTGTAAAATCTTTGCCTACCTAAAAGTCACAAAGATATGTTCATGTGTTTTCTGCTGAAGACTTTATGTGTTGGTTTGTATTTAACCTTTCTACAATTCACCTGGAAGTTACTTTGTGTATAATGTATAACAAAGGTCAAGGTTAATTTTTTGGGGTACAGAGACCTATTCTTCCTAATTCCATTAAGGGGTCATCTTTGTCTTCAATCAGTGACTGCACAGATTGTCTACTTGTCTATTCTGACTATACTTTTGAGTAAAACTTTTATAGTTTTAAAAGTTTTGACGTCTGGTAATGTAAGTTTTCTATCTTTGTTTTATTCCAATATTCATCTAGCTATTCTTAGCTATTTATATTCTCTTTCAACTATAAGGATGGACTTGTCAATTTCTATGAAGGCCCTGGAGTGATTTTTGAAAGGGATTGCATTGAATTTATGAGATCAGATTGAAGAGAGAATTGGCACATTTGTGGTATTTTTCTAATCCTACTTATCTATTTGCTTAGACTTTAGCAATATTTCTTGATAATGTTTTATATTTTTCTGTAAAATGTTACACATATTTTATTTATTTATTTTTAATGTATTTGGCTGTTACAGGGTCTCACTATGCAGCTCGAACTCTTAATGATCCTCCTGTTTTCAGCCTCTCCAGCACTGGAATTACAGCCATGTACCACTGCAACCAGACTCTGTGGCAGGCTCAGCTGGTCTGGGGGCAGGGCCTGCACAGTATGTGGTGCCAGGCATCAAACTACAGTCCCTGTGCCTGGCTAACCTTGCCTAAGCAGGCGCGTTAGTCTGCTGAAGTTTTTCTCCAGTCCTGTTACACGTATTTTAGATCTTTAATTTTGCTACTATAAATGATCCCACTTTAAAATTATTATTTTCAAGAGTTTTTGTTGTTCATTTACTTATTCTAATAATTGGTCTGGGGATGTTTTTGGAATTTCCCTGTATACTAGATAATCATATAATTTGTAACTCTCCTATCCCTATGTTAAGATGACCAAAATAATGATAAAATTTTAGAAGAAGCACTATTATTCACCATGAAAGTTTTTTGGGGGCTGGGGGAATAAAATGAGTATTATCAGGTTATAGAAGTTCCCTTTTATTTTGTTTGCTAATTTTTTGTTGTGAATTGTATTATTCATCAAATGCTTGTCTACATCTTTTGAAGTAATTGAATTATTTTTTTCTCCCTTGATTTGGTGGATTGCATTGCTTTATTTTCAGATATTAAACTACCTTTGTATTACCTTTGTATTGTTGGAATACATTCATGTGGTTGTGATGTATTATTCTTTTTAATGTTATTAGACTGATTGCTTTACATTTTATTTATATCTTTTGTAGTTATGTTCATGAATAAGATTGTTCTGCTTTATGATTTTCTTCTTTTTGGGTTGCATGTTTGGTATACAGTTTATGCTTCATAATTAGTCAAGAATATTCCAGTCTTACATTTTGACAGTTTGTATATAATTGATGTAAACTTCTTTTTCCTTAAGTGTTTCTAAGAATTCACCAGAATTCAGGCTTTTGGACTTGGAATTTTCTTGGTGAGAATGTTTTAAGATATGGGGCATTAAAAAAATATACATACTCTTTTTTTTTTTTTTTTTTTTGCTGGCTCAGGCTGCCTTAAGGGCAGGTCTGGTAAGGAAGGTGGAGGTGGGGATCGAGCTGCGGTATCCTGCACCTGATAGCATTTGCAGGAGCAGGTGCTGGAACAACTGAGCTAACCAGCAGGCCCCCCAAAAATATACATATTCTTGTGTGGCTTTCAAAATTTCATCTAATGTCTTATGTTGGTGAAAGTTGTTCAGGATTTTTTTTAAACATCTTACAGCCCTATCATAGTGCCTACTTTTTTATTCCTATTATTGTGGTTGGATTTCCCGTCTTCAAAGTCAGCAGTGGTAGGTTAATCCCTATCACTAGAGTCTTCCTTCTGTATCCCTCTTTCTCCGAAGGACCATATCATTGTATTCAACCTGTTTAGATATTTAGTATACTATCCATATTTTAAGTT